CAGGGGGATCGAAGGTACTTCGAGGCATTGGCAGATAGTTGCCAGTGTACGGTGGATCACGTATCCGTAGTCATAGCCAGCAACCATGCCATAGATTTCAGAAGCTAGAACGCTCCGAGTGACTCTCTTGCATTTGGTAGAGGACCAATGAACAATGTTTCCGGTCAGATCGAATGTGAATGTCTCGTCATTGCCAGATGATTCATTCCCGAGGATGATGACAAATCCGATCTGTGATGATAGGTCCTTATTATTGGCGAATGATCCATCAACAAACACAAAGAGTTTAGCAGTAAACAGGTCAGTCGTTACGAATCGAAGTCCATGTGACTTGTTGTCTAGTTGCCATTAAATGCGTTTATTTAGCATCTTGACATCTTTGTCAGAGGGTTCTTGGGCTTGGGCTGCGACAGAATAGTCAAATGCAGCTTCTGGTTGACAGATGGAGGCAATGTAAGCGCCTCTTGCTCGTTGCTCAATAAATTTCTGCTTGTAGTCCTTGTCACTCATGTCAATCAGGACGAGCTTGTCAGCTTGTCCCTTTTGAGTCGCTGTCATGCTCTCAGTCTGAAATTCTAGACGGCATCCATTGAAGTTGCCAGAAGAACCAGTATCAAACTGGGTTCATGGTTTCGTCTTGTAGCCCGCTTTCCTCGTTTTGTTTTCTTCCTTCTTTAAGAAGCCGGTAATGCCAATGACAAAGGTGTCGTCAGTTTGAAAGGCTGCGATAGCAAAGTCGTTGCCTTTCTTTGTAATGAATAAACAAGGGTCATATACAGATGTCTCCATCTCTAGTCTTTCCTTGTGGTGGGCGGAGTATGTGTCATACCAATGATTCCCAGCTTCTGCGATTCCGTACAGGGGTTTGTCAACGCGAAGAATCGTACCCTCTGGATACTTCTTCTTTAGTTCAATGGGCAGCTTGCATAGGACAAGACAATTCATAGGGTGTTGTGACTGCATATAGGCCATGGTGATGTCTCGAGAGGCAGCGAGGCATCCTAGCCGCCGTAAAGACGGTGTCAGGGCCATTGCCAGTCGTTGGCTGCATCGCATGATCGTCGGAACTTGGGTCATGATATCGTGCTTTTTATGATCGTTATATCCTTGAACGACGAGTCTGCTCTTCTCGTAAGGGCGGTCATTGACACCTTTAACAGTGCGGACGAGACGAGAATTAAACAGTTGGGTGTTGTTATGAATCTTGCTGTCGAATAGAATGGGGACAAGCACTTCATCGGCAAATAGAGACTCAATCTAAAGGACATCGGATTGCTCGAAGGGTGTTCCAGGGGCTGTGATCTTGCCTTCAGTGCGCAGTTTCAGGGCAAGAGCGCGGTCAGCACGCTCCTTGTGCGAGAGGAAAATGCCATATTCATCTTGTTGGACGAAGGAGCCAGCGAAGTTCTCTTCTTTGCTTGTAATCGTAGTGGCCATGTGTACCATGTATATTTTTCTGGGTCGGCCTCGCGGTCGCTTCGTGCTTTGGACGGGTATAGGGAGCTTTGGAGGGCGGCCGCGACGACGGGGGAGTGTCGGTTCAGGATATTCGAACGGAACGGGGGTATCGTGGTTGTCAACCTTGTCAGTATCGAGAATTGCGTCAGGGTGACGGTTGTACGGCTTGACGTGCGTGCGGTTGAATAGGGTTGGTCCGTTGACCATCTCAACGGTCACTTCTCGGTCTGTTACCGATAGAACCTTATGCGGGCCTTGATATTTGTCTTTTTCACGATAGACAAGGACCTCACTGCCGATGGGAAGAGAGAGAGGCAGTGTTGGGGTTGTATCAGGGCCGTTCCTTGTGTTTAGAGCACTTTGAACGTTGCGCTTGGCTCGAAGCTTACGTAGTTCCGTCATTGCTTTGGCCTGGGCCTGGGCACGTTAAAGTTGCGATTGTGTCAGGGGTGAATCCATTGTAACGCGTGGATAGGCTCCAAAGACCAAGAGTGTTAGTACAAGGCCATCAGGACCGGCGGTATCGTTCACGGCTTTTACTGCCATCTGTAGGGCAGCTTCTCGAGAGATCCCGGATGATTCGGCTCAGATGATCTCGTAAGAGCGTCGAATGGGGGTATGATACCGTTCAACCTTGCCAATCGACCAATGAGCTTCAACAGGAATCTGGTGACAGGTGATTCCAAGCAATCGGGCTTCAGCTCGGAATTCTGTGGCTGCGAAGTTGGTACCAGCGTCGTGCGTTAGGACATCTGGAGGACCAAGATAGGTGTTGATCTAACATCGTTTCAATGCTTCCCAGGTCTCCTTGGCAGACAGGTTGGGGAGGAATTGGGCTGCCTGGAAGGCTGTAGCGGCATCAACGCAGTGAAGGACGGGCTTGCTCTCCAAGTACATGACATCGACGATGACTTCGTAGTTGAAATCAATATCCTTCTTGATGGAAAACTTGAAGCGTTGTGGTGACGGGCCTTTGACCTGGCAATGATGGCAAAACTTGTTGATCATTGCAATGGCATCTCGATTAGCTCCATTGCCAGATTTCTCCAAAAGCCTGTGAAGCTTGCCAACGGAAGGGTGGCCGAATCGGGTGTGAATACGTCACAGCTCGGCTTCTGTGAGGAAAATACCAGTTGACGCAGTCGTGGATGCTGAGGGAAAGAACCAAGGGTGGCCCCATTTTCGGGTGATTGGGATGGACTTGCCATCTCGCAGTCAGATCATCCTATTGGCAATATTATCAAACATTACGCCAAGCTTGTCGAAGTCTTTCAGGCAGAGGAGGAAGGGAGTTTGGGTGTCAACGACATGGAACGTCACGTCTCCAATAGGGGTGTCAACATGGATCGTGCCAAGGGAATCTAGGGGCTGTCCTCCACCAAATTAACCGTAACTTCTCCAGCGCGTGATTTATCGAGTAAAACTGAGGGTAGCTCGCGCTGTAAGGCTAGGAATTGACCCTTGCCGGCTGTTGAAACAGAAGCAGCGCCAGAATCGGGTATAATTCCTTGGAATGTAAAACTGGCGTATCTATCCAGTGTGAAACTGTCAGACTCGAATCCAACTTGCAAGTTGTCCGTGGCAGTGATTGAATGTTGGAATGCTCGGTCGCTAAGTAAGGTGGCTGTGAGATATTGGATAGCATTGTCACTGCTGTCGCTTCTGGAATCCATGACGTGTTGGTCATGCGTATCATCGGGGTCTGAGTCAAGATCTGGCTCGTAGTCGGCCATGAAATGGATGTAGGCAGGGCCTGTGGTCGGTTGTCCACGGAATTGTTGATCGTGTCGCCATTTCTCTTTGGATTTCCGCTGTTCTTCTGGAGAATACTTCCACAATCGACAGTCAGGGTCACTACAGATATAACAACGTCTAGTAACGTTGCCATCTCGTTTACTATATTGCTTGTCTTTCCGCCGGTGAAACTTGCGATCAGTAAAATACTGATTAGTAGTATGCTGGGCGCTGTCAGCTGAGTCTTTAGAGGTCTGGAGTGATTGTCGGAGGTTTGAAGCAAGAGCTTTAAACGTGTGTGAAGGAGTGAACAAGGCATAATTGAATTCTTTGATACCACGGCAGGCGCGTTCCACAGCTGCAATCAGCTATGTCTCGCCTAGGTACGAAGGGCCAAGGGCACATTGACAGAGTTGCAGTTTGTCAAGGAGTGTCTCAAGGATCTCCATACCGGTCTTGCCAGCATTCTCAGGTCGTGCCTTCATGTTGATATAAGTGATTACCGACCAATCGCGATGATATTGAGTCTTGTTGACTTCTGTGTTAAAATGTGCCTTGAGACGGTTGTACATGTCTGAGAATATCGAGTGACGGCTGATATGGTGCATGAAGTATTCTTGAGCTGTGCCAGTGAGGACTTGGGGGAATACTGCGTGGAACTGGCCAGGTTTGATGCCAATGGTAGAACATATGTTTAGGAAGTAGCGTATCTTGTCATCCAGAATATTGTAGGGTTGTCCTGAGTAGCAGTTCTTCTCTTTCCAGATCTTGGCAAATGTTGCGATTGTTCCAGGAGCTAGGTCCTTGTTGGGTACTGGGATAGGGGGAATCTGGGTATATGGATCAGGTGGTTGATTCTGTAGCCATTGGTTGTGTTGCTGGTATGTTCCGAAGCCAGGGTCTGGTGTGATAGCGATGTGCCGAGGATTGGGCATAAAGTTGCCGGTTGCATATGCCGTTGGGATTTGTGGTGGTGAGGGATTCCGGTACTGGGCTAGATTTAGATCTGGGGTAGTCTTTTGTGATGCATGTTCGGCGGTAACAGAAGGGATGTCATTATGAGGATCAATCAAATCTGGGGTATCAGCATTGGGAGCATTAGTCTGTGTAGCCATGCAGACATCAACGATTTTCCAGACATTTGGGTGCGGATAAGTAGTTCTTACTCTGTCAAGTAAGACTTTATCCCAGGTTGGGAGGTCTTCTGCGGTGACAAGATTGGCAAGGGCGTCTGTGATGGAGTGGTTTGCTTTGCCTAGGTAGATTCCTTTGGAGTTGAGGCATTTCCTGAAGATGCCTCGTATAGTGCGCTCAACCTTCTCGAAGTCTGCCTTTGTCCAGTTCTCAAAGTCCATCTGGAATGTCTCGTGAATCTCGAAGGGGACGGGCGTCTTAGCATTATTGTAGCGATCGATACATGACAAGGTGTACGAGTTGAAATGGGTATCCTTGCCATATTCAAGGTCGACTTGTTTTCCAAATTTGATACGATCAAGATCAATGAGGTCGACAAAGTTGACATGTAGGTTGCGATCGCTGAGATATCGTAGCTTCTCGTCTCTCACAATGTCTGCAGGGTCTTGAGCGACTTGGATTTTGCTGTTGCCATTGCTGGAGGCCATCTTGTCGGATGTTGTTGGATTCAAGCGAGTTCAGTGATTGGAGGGTGATTCTTCGTGTATTGCATGTAGTGTCTTGTATCTGTTCTGTCTGTTCAGGTGCCCCTGATCGGTTCCCAGTTTGGTGCTGGTCATCTCCGCCGTACCGTGGTTTTTCCGGTCGGACTCGGCTCATCTTCATGACCCCTGTTATCCAACAGCATCGAAGGCCCCCGTGATGTCTAGCTGCATCAGCGTGGCTACCGCGCCGTAGCTCCATCCTGTATGGACTGCTTCGACTACCATGTGGATCGCATGTTCTGTTGACCTGCCCTTACGGTTCTCCATTTGGCCCTCGGGAAGGAGCCTGTATGTCTCTGCTGCCTCCATCATACGGTTACTGATAACCTTCTCTATGACTTTCCCCATGCAGCTAAGAAGCGCGATAAGCCGGTAGGCCCCTAGAAGGGTCTTCTCTTCTGGTGTCTTTCTGGCTTTTGGTAATACCACTATTGATGCCATTTTGAACTGTTTCGGCCACTCGCCCAGAACGAACGAGCATTCCGCGACTTCCGCCAGGGCGACTCTCAGCGGTTTGCCGCACGCTTCAAGGAATCCTGCTGGCAGAAAGTCCCAGCCTGGGGCCTTTCAGCGGCTTCATCAAGTCAAGAACTGCCTTAATGTCTGTCTCGTCTACCTTCCTGCTTATGGCAAACTTCCCTTCAAAGGGGTCTAGTCCGGTATCGAAATCTTCCGGAATATCGGACAAGTCCGCTGTTGGGGAAGGGAAGAATTTCCCTGATAGGATATCTACCTGCTCGTCGAACTTAGATGTCAGGCCTCCCATGAAGCCGGGTTTCTTTAAGGGCGGGAGCGTTCCCGCCTCTCGTGGTTTGAACCCGCGCAGCCGTGCTGCCCTTTCAAGGTCACAAAGCTTCTTATTATCTTTGAACGCTGCTGCTGTGAGGTGACGCCAGGTTTTCGTCTGGGCTTTACTGATGGTCTGTTTCTGCACCCGCCTCGCCTTTGCTAGGCCTTCAAAGTCTCGATCCGACCGGGTTTATTATTAAATAAAAATTGCATTATAATTTATAAATAAAACATCTTTAAAAAGGATTAATTGAGACAAAAATATATAAATATACAGACCATATATAGTAAATGAAAAGAGTTAAATAAAAAATATATAGCTACTATTGGCTTACTTATAATACCAATGATAACGCCGTTTTTAACATTAAATTAAAGTTATATAAAAAAGGAGTAAAAAATACGAAGTATAAAAAGATTAATTGAAATTCTTTTTTCAAATTTTGAGCTTTTTATTAAAGTAAAAAACAACCATTTTATATAAATGTATATGTGAGAACTCGTCGCGCGGAATATTTTGTTCAGGATTCTTGCTTGTTTTTTTGTTCTAAGTCTACCTGGTACAGACGGATTCATACATAAATACGTGTGCAGCGCCTCTATTCGTGGTGGTAGCGGAGCTGTGGGGCAACCATCCTACCCACAGTTCGCAAACTATCTGGAGACACACCATGAGCCACCACCACATCTGACAGCATATATATAATGCGGAAAATAGAAATATCATATATTTAAAACTTAACCGGTTTAAAAAAGATTATAATATATAGTTATAGACAATTTAAAAAAAATTCGTTATATATTTTAAAAAAATAATTAAATATATTAAAAGATTAATATAAGCATGAAATAAAACTTGCACTTCGAAATTTGAAGAAGCCTACTATTAAAGCTTATTAAAAATAATGGCCTTTAAAAACAAGGCTTGAGTAAAAAAAATTAAAATTTTACTTAAATAGATATAGAACAATCTCTTATTTCAATGTTTAAGGCTTGTAATTAAAGGCTATTAAAAGCGGAATTAATAGTTTATCCATACGTGTTATTTTTGTGTAAAAATCAAAGCTATAAAAAAACGTTGAAGAAATATCCGGATTAATTATTAACTATAAGCTATACTTTCTACGGTTAGCTATTATCTATAATAAGCTATAACTTTCACTTTTAATCAATATTCTGAACGGCAACGATAATTTTACTTATTATTTAAAAAATAATATATATTATAATATTACGGTTTAAACGCAACTGGTTATAAAAGGTTGCACATAAAAATGAACTAACCGTATAAAAAAAGACGATTTAAGCGGGGCGAATTCTGTTGTCTAATTAGCCGGCGAAATCGTGGCGTTATTAATGTTTAAAAAATACTTGATGAGTGCAAATGGACTTGAATAACGCTCCCTATTTAAGGGCCACTTTGACGAGATGCACGGGGCGGGATCAGCCTCTTCAGATAGGGGCATTGGCGCCGGCGCCGTTGGGTCACTGGGCCTTGGCTGCCACTGGCTGCACGTGTCGGCAAGTAATTTGGCGTGGTGCAACCCCGGACCCGCCCCATGGATGACATAAAGTATCCACCCATTTCTATCTTTAACCTAGGACAGCCTTGGAAAGCCCGCCATCATCACCAACCCTCAGCCCGTCCACCAGTCAATCAATCGCCATCGACGTAAGCACGTTGCAGTGTGCGTACAGCGCTGCACAGCACAACCACCATCGCGGCGCATTACCATTCGCACATCCAGCAAGAGATCTACATCTGTGTCACCTTGACTCATCCCATCTCTATCTCAGTGGCAGCCTGTAGCAGCTCCGCGACGTCAATAACATCATCATAATCCTTGCCTACCTGCTCTCTTTTATTAGCAGAGTGCCCCCATGCTGCCTCATCTTGGTGACACAACAGCAGCTGTTGTGGCAATTTATCCATTTCTCCTGCTCTCGTGAACATTGGCTTCTCCATCCGATAATGCTCTTTGCGACACCAAGTCCCATCGTTTTCCTAGGCGGATGTTGATTTCGCTGCTCTACCCAACATATCTTACTTCCACTACCTGCGCTGTCGAGCTCCGATGGCCTCCTCAGCCAAGTCCAATCCCGAACAACCATCCGCCGTTCCGTCTTCGACCGAACCTCCTCGCCCTCACTCCCAACCGCCATCGCAAGCGCATCCACACCCGCAGTCGCAGTCGCAGTCGCAGAAGCCACCGGTCGATGGAAGCACATACTATGGCTATCTCTTCAATGGCGACAAGACGCCCACCGACCTGCTTAACGCGCTACTTCGCGCCATCGGGCAATACATCGTAAGCTCTTCCTCCGTCAGCCCTGTGACAATGTCGCCTCGTCGCCCGGTGTAGCACTAACCCGAGGACTACCCAGATCGATCACGTAGGCGATACGAACGACAAGCAGCTTGATGCCAAGAAGCTGTCTGCCTTCTACCATGCCGTTGGCGGCGACTATGACTCGCTCTTCGTCAAGGCTCCCAACAAGTCCATCTCCTATATCTGGCAAGCACTGGGAGTCCAGCATACCTTCCAACCCACCGATAATGACTTCGAAGAACCCTGCATTCCCGCCTTGACGCTGAAGGGCTTCGCGCGATGGCAATCTCTCCAGATCCTGCTTGGGCCCGAGGAACACGTACCCTACATCCAATATGCCGTGGCCAACTGGATCCTTAGCCATCCCGAAACGGGCGAACCCTTCCCACCTGACTTGCCCGCCGATGCTTTCCCAGCAGTGTGCGATCCGAAAATAGATGAGTGGCATAGAAGCTGTGCTGCGAGGTTGCGCGAAGCCGTGACACCGAGAGAAGAACATCCTCCTCGACGACACTCGTCTGATCCCCGAATACATGCCACTTTCAACCATGTACGCAGCCCGCTCGCTGGTGGTGTACCTCGTCAGAGGCCTGAGATGGACTACTTCTCGCGTGAGAGGTCGGTGCCCTATGTCCGTGTAACAGCGAATCACTTTGCGGGTCAGCCTTTCTCTCCTCGCATTCCGCCAGAGAAGCGCCGGCTCAGCAGTAGTAGCGGCAGCTCACTAGACGACGTGCCCCGAAGGCGAAGCTTTTCCGACCTACACTCTCCGCAACCAAAAATAGATGAGAAAGACATGCGATCCTCGGCGCACCACGATCCCCGACGCCCGCCAAATCTCCGTCGTCACAGCCACCCGCGGCCACAATCTGCGTCAAGTTCGGAGTCGGGGACTGATAACGACGTACCGTCACGTCCAACTTTCAAGACGGGGCCGCACGGTCCTGCTCCACCGCCTTCATCGTCTTTTCGGCGCGTCGCAGGACCACCGCCCCCTGCGGCGTCAGCTTTCTCAAGCCGTGCTCGGCGCAACGACATACGAGCGGATGACCCTCGCAGGATGAGTTTGCCTGCAGGAATCAAACACAAGCTTACCTCGATGTTTCCGGGATCCTCTGATCGACATCGAAGCAGCTCTCATGAAACGCCCACCGTTCCTCCTATACATCCCGTACGTTTTCGGAAGGAGGCCTTACCGCACTCGCGCTTAAACCGGAGTCAATCAGGAGACTCTTTTGTAGATGAAGAGTCAGATCCACAACCGACATCACCAAGATACACCTCACGAAACAATCGTGAGCGGATGGTGGAGAAAGAACGCGAGAGAGAACGCGAAATCGAAGAAGAGCGAGAGAGAAGGAGTCGAAAGGAAAGAGAGTATCTTCGACCGCCTATGAGCCGAAGAACCAGTAGTCACAATGATGGTGAACGACGGGCAGGGTGGGAAGCTCGAGACAGAGAGCGGAATCGGGACTGGGACCGGGATGACGGAAGGAGGGCTTGGACATCCGACGAGAATCAGCGAAGAGACCGAAGACGATACAACGACCGTGGACCTGACCATGCAGAGACTGGCGTCAGCGGCAGGAGATACCCCCGTCAAGCTGGATTTTGAAAGTACTGGTGATCTGTTTTGCGCTAGGCGAGGAGTATCTGAGTTCGGTATCTTTGCGGGTTTTGTTCCTTCCTTTTTTTTGGCCCTCGCGATTGCCACGAGCTGAGTTATTGGGAAACAGACCCTATTGGGACAATATGTGGGATTGCACATTAATTCACCCCTATTTGCTTGAAGCGTTGCGGGAACTTATCAGGCGTTCAGAGGAACGATATCCTTAGAGTAAACACTACTCCATTTAGCTATGGCTGCACACAATGGCGAAATTCTCTCTCTTACCAATGGCACCTTCGATACGGTTCATAAGAATCATGCGCAATCTCCCGCGACGAACGTGTGATGCTCGCCCTGTCTTTCGCGAGTGGTCCATCTAATTATACAGGGGCGACCGCGGTCCTGGATGCTGGATCTAGAGACGTCGCGGAACGCGACGCACTAGTTTTCCAGGCTGTAGATCACGGACGATTCAAGACGGTCATTATGCAGATGTGATGAAAAGAGGCGAGCTTGGTTTGCTTGGTACACGGGCGGATAGACTGACAGGACTAGAATACGTACGCACTTTCATCAACCCCCTTTCAATCATATTAAACTTTCTCGCACGTTCATTTTTACCCCTATCTACCCTACGGAAGCCTGTCTCATGCAAACACGACTCATTTTGGTACTCTTATTCCTCCATCATCCATCCTTCATGACATTGCGTGTGGTGTGAAACAGGAAACACACGTGTGTCCGTTCCCCTGTCTTACCACAGCTGCCGTCGAGGTCCCGTGGGTTTCTGTGTTGACGGGCTGGTTCCTTCGTCGGTCGGTCGCTCGGTAGTTCGGTAGGTGGGTGTACTGTAGGCAAGAATCTCAGATGGATGAGCAGGCAGGGTGTCGGGGATTGGTTGTTGGCAGCTAGCTCTGTCACGGGTCCGTCTCTACCGGGAGAGAAAAGGAAAGACAAGAACCGGCCTTTGCCTCGCTTCGTGGGATATGTCCCGTCGAAGCAGACGTATCTACCGGGTTGAAGTCAAGCTTCACCACGTCAAGTCTCAGTCGCAGTCGCAGCTTGTTTGCCTTAAGCCTCGAGACACTCAGCAGTCCAGTCGTTCTCATCCCCGTCTCTCTTCCGCCGTCAGAAGCGTGCTCAGTACAGACCCTCACAGGACGTATCTGTCCACAACACAACCACCAGTACGGTTGATTCCTTACTTCCTCTTCTTCTGTCCATTAACAAATGAATGGGAATGCCCCGCGGACTAGTCGTACAGTATTCTTACAGGTGATGATTCGGTTCTGACAAGTAATCTTCCACAGGTCTCCTGCGCAGGCCGGAGTCGTACATACGTCCACCGTAGACGTGAAAATCGTATCGTATCTTTTCGTATCGTATTGTATCCTTTTCGTGTCTTTTCGTACCCCGTCCTGTCGCAGAAGACGCCCTCGTTCATTCTTCATATTTTCGTGATTTCGTGATTTCGTGATTTTGTTCGCTCAGTGATGATGCCAAGCCAAGTAATGACAAGCGATGGCAGTTCTCTCTTCCTTCATATCTCTCCTGGCCCGTCATAGCAGTCGACAGCGCCGAGAGAAACCGGCATGGGTAATCCCATACATCCATCGATCCCTAGAAGAACAGCGGCAGATCAATCAAAGATCCCCAGATCCGCCGCCGCGGCCGTCATCAGCGGGCGCGCCTTCCACAGCTGCTTCTGGTGCTGGTAGTACGCACTCCTCTCCCTCTCCATCATCTTCTCCTTACTCTCCCGCTTCTTCTCGTTCTCTATTCCATTCTTCGTCACTGTCACCGGCTGCTCCGTGCCCTGCACGTGCGAACGGAAATCCAGCCGCGAGGGCAGCGGCGAAGACGATGACGGCTCCTTCCACTGACGATACTGTAAGTCAGAAGGCGCGGTGTCAAAGGTTAGTGCCTGCGTCAGGTCGCGCAGCTGCGACGGCCGCAGGCGGGAGGACGGCATTTGCACGGGGGACGAGGAGCCACTGCGGTACTGCTTGTCCGGCGGCGGGTAGCTGTGTTGCTCGTCTAGGTGCGAGAAGTGCGAGAGGAGCGCCGAGGCGGAGGCGTGGGGCGGGAAGTTGGCGGCGGTTATGGTGTTGTCGAATTCTTCGAAGACGGTGCTGGGGTTGTAGGTCCAGTCTTGCTCTTGATCTTGGGTTGGGTGGCTGCGGTTGGGGTTGGGGTTGGGGTGCTCGGGTAGCTGCTGTTGCTGCGGCTGGGTGGTGGACTGGTCTGTGGATTGGTTGAAGATGATCAAGTTGTCATCGGCGAAGATGTTGGCGCCGGTGCCGCCCTCGAGTTCTTGCAGGTCTTTCCAGATAAAGCTCAACTCCTCTGCCGCAGCTCCAACACCAGCTCCAGCTACATCTCCACCTCCTACTCCTACTCCTGCTACATCTCCAACATCACCGCCCCACTCGACTCCAGAATCGGAGCAGTAGAGATGGTACTCGTCCCGAAAAAACGCGGCCCGCGCCTCCTGGTAGTCGCGCTCCTTGGTGCGCTCGCGGCGCAGCGCCGCGCGCCGCGTCTTCATGTGGAAGTGGCAGTAGTCGCGGTGCGTCCACTTGAGGGCCGTCGCGACGTGCACGCAGCGCGCGCTCGAGCGGCCGTGCTCGCACTCGTCCAGGTGGTAGCGCAGCTGGCACGGGCAGCGGTGGAAGCGGAGGAAGATCTGGGTACACATTTTGGGTTGGGGGCGCGCAGGCTGCGGTTGTCTCGGATATGGGGGGTTTTTCTTGGGTTGAGGACCTGTACTGGGGTTTTGAGTGAGAGGTTTGGTGGTGGTTCTTGGGCTGGTGATGCTGGGAAGGTGCGAAGATCTCGGGTTGCAGATTTGTTCCTTTGGCTTGGAGGCAGAGGGCTTGCCGATGCTCGAGGGGCTTTGGAGGGAGAGTTGGTTGGTGCTGAGGCGAGAACAGCCACTGAGGGGAGGTGCCGATCCAAGGTGGATGAATTGTCGAAAAAATTGCCGTCCAGGGAGGGGACGTCGACAAGATGATGCCTCCGTGCTAGCCTCCGTATGGTTGCCTCAAGGATTCTGGAAGTTGCCTACGCCGTACTGGATGCGGAGTCAGCTTGGAGCGCAAGGTAGGCGGGTGGGAGGGATGGAAGAATGAGGAAATTTTTGAGATCGAGGTGCAAGTAAGTAAAAGCTCGGCAGATGTCGAGAGGGTACAAAGGCTGGTGCAAGGTGCATGGATGCGTGTGGGTGGGTACACGCAAATGAAGGCGGCCTGAGAGACTAGTACCACATCGAGAGGGCAGTGAGAGCTTACCTGGTGACTCCGACGTACTCAGTTAGAATGTTAATGATTCGCAGGTGTGCCGAACCTGTGCGGTATTCCACGACGCGTGCGCGGGGGGTGTTTGACAAAGAAGGGTGGTCCCGAGCCGTGGACCTTGAAGGTTGTTAGTATAAGGAGACGGCGGACTGGCGGACTTAGGGCAAAACCCCAATCCAGGTATCTGCCGGAGGAGGATGTGAATCATGAGCGAGTGACAAAGATTACGGAAGACAGGGCGAGGTGAAAATTCACTCGAGTTCAGATAGAAGTCAGACCGGCCGGCCCTCCTAAATCAGCATGTAAGCCTTAACGGTGCCTCCCCACTTGTGCTTCACGTAGACTGTAGTTCATTCCCAGTATCGGTCTCTTTCATGGATCTTCACACACTTCACAAGTCTGTACATTGGGTGTAGTGTCAAGATTCATCTACCTTAGGTAGGTAGTCTACATGTGAGTAGACACCACAATCACTTACCATTATACCATATGCAGCTCTGAGAACCACAGTACAAATCCTTCACTACTCCCCCTGCTTCCGGCTCCACGGGAGCAGCCGCCGCCCCTTCTTATTTTTCTTCTCGGACTCCAAATACTCTGCGTAGAAAGTAGGCATTGCCTCGCTCCGGTTCCACGCGTAGAACCTATCAAGCTCATCAAGCGAGTCTTCCAACCAGCACGAGTGCACCCACAGCGGCTTACTCGACTTTACCCGCACCAGGTAGTAGATATCCTTCTTCACCTCAATACCCGAAATCCGCTTGCGCTGGGTCTGGAGCATGTGCCGCACGCTGGCATCCCTGACAATCTTCTTCTCCGACCCCCTGAGGGACATCTGCTGCGGCTCCCTGGGTCGAGGGGCGCCTGGCCCCTGGATGTACCTCTTCAGGAAGAACTTGTGCACAACGGGGAAGATCCTGAGGCCCACAGGCAGGTCGATGGAGCACGAGTCTTGGAAGACCGTCAGGACTTCGAAGGGGCCAACCGAGTAGCCTTCGAAATAGTGCGGGCACTTCTGTGTTCGCTTGCCTGCCTTGGCCTGCGCCCCCCACACGAAGACCACGTCGCCGGGCTCTCAGGGCCCGAGGCTCTCCTTGTCGGTGCCAATGGTCTGTTCGGGGTATGTCACGGGTTCTTTCGCCTTGACGGGGAGGAGTATGGCTTGCCATGGATCCTCGACGGCCTGTGACTCGACGAGACACCACTCGCCGCACTCATGATACGTAACATCGTCGTACAGCTCAGGTGGGATGCCTGGGGGTATAGGCAACTCGGATTGCTCAATTTTGACGGCATTCAGGCGCTCGGAGAGTCCAATTTTGATGAGGAGGATTAGCCTTCCTATATCCGTTTCTTTGATCTCATTGCCATCGACCAACATCTTGGCGTAGTTGAGTATGACATCCAGAGGCGCGGACTTGGGACAGTGGCATCCTGAGTAGTGCTTGACGTACACGAAACCATCAGCCGGCTTGCCGTCCTGATCTAGATCCCGGTACGTCCATCCCGTGCAGTGGGTCTTGAGGTTCGCTCGCTCGATCAGCAATGGGCGGTCACATATCTTGTTCGTAGGCTCAGCAGCAGTCGCCACCATAGAAGCCCGTTTTGGTCTCGTGAGCTGAGTCGTCGGACCTAGATTGGCCTTATTCGGATGATCGATGGCAATTGAAGATGCCGCCGACAAAGAGTGGCGCGCGTCATATTTAGGGATGTCGGGTAGATAGCGTCTCTGACGAAAGGTGGACAAGGGATCGAATGTGAATCCGCATAGCAAAGAGGCCGACCTTTCCATTGTAAGTGACGTCGCGCTCCTTCCGGTCGGGCTTAGGACTGGCTCCAGTCGAATGAGGACAGACAGAATGCTATTTTCCAAGTCACAGTGTATCTTTGTGGTCTGTCACAACAATCGGAGCAATAGGGGAAGGGATAGCCACTACTTAAGGACGTAGCCAAGGTGGCAAGAGAGGTTTACCAGCACACCCTGATCATTTCCTACCTAGTCATGGATTATATGCAAGCGGAGTAGGTTCAACCCATTATCAGGTTCATCCCGTGGTTAATTAGGTTCGTCTCGTGATTAGGTTCATCTCGTGATTTCCATTCCGGCCACTTTTAGGTGCGAAAGCAGGCGACAGTGTTTGCGACGTGCGTCTACCACCACCAGGAGCATCACCAACCAACGAGACCATGGACGACATCGATGGCGATGTGTTGAACAGCGTGTATGATGGTTCATATGGTTGCTATTCGTACTATCCAGTGACAGTCAGATAGTACGTGGTGTTCACCTCGAAGGTTCCGTTGTGGGATGGGTGGTCCCAAAATGCCCTAAACACCTTGTTGAGTGCACTGCCACCTCCCTGAACGCCACAGTGGCTTGCGCGCCATTCAATACGATGCCTTCCTTCGGTTGAACGGGCAAAGATAGAGGCTGTCTTTCGGTAAGAAGTACAATCTCTTTCTAGTAAGTGCAGCTTCTATCTGACATTGCCATGCGGCATTCTCAGAGGGCGGCAACATACTTGGGTGGGTGATTGACGACAAGGTCGAATCCAGAAGAGCGAAAAGGACCCTCATCAAGACCAGCACTAGGGCTAGGGCTGCGCACTGCCGGTAATGGCCCCTCATATTAAGGGGCCACTGCCAGCCAGGCTGGGACGCAAAGAACTTCACTTCTTCATCTCACGACCATTGTACGGGCTCACGGACGACACGCGACCGTCGCGATTTCACCTGCCCACCGTCCCTCGCCCAATGGATGGAATGGAGGGACATCGACTGGGTGATGATTTTTGAATTGGTTTTGCTTTTGTACATACGTGGGATGCTTCCAATGCCTCGACGGCAGGTAGGCAAGGCCCCTTGGTGTCGCTCATGCCCTCAATGCATGCAGAAGAGTGATGAAAAGAGGCAAAAAAGAGACGGTTGGAACCTAGGCTTCGAATTTCTGGATGTAGGGCATGGTGACCCGCAAGCGCGGTAGTGGGTAGGCCTAAGAAGCTTGTACAGGAGAAATGAATCAACGTAATAGTCTTACTTGGATTAATGGGTGTCTTGCTCCAGCGTGATTCGAATCCATGAGCTCTCCGTCTCTGGGGTGGTCAAGGCGGGAGCATTAGCCCCTAGACCACCATGTTGTTTCGATTTTTTTACAACTGTACAAGTAGCCTCCCCCGCCGGAGTCGTCACCCACCTGGCAACACCTCTGTCACCCAGGCTCGGGCTTCACTTGTTGATGCGCTGGTCCGTCCCTCTGTCGTCTCCTAGTGACCTTCATTATTTCTCTCCGGTTCCCATGTTGCGGTGAAAGGGGCTGGGATTGTATCACCAACTTTCGCCTACCTGCACCCCCTTTAATCCCGAGTCTAGGTGGAACAGGATTCCGTTGACACCTATTCATCTCGTATGCTTGGTCAGCTGACTCAAAGCACCGCACTGGGAGAATGCAGGGAGCAACGGGTATGGTACGCACATGGTATTGACTGATATCACACGACCTAAAAGGGTCATTTTCCGCCGACAGCATGTCCAGGGGGCTGGGTCCCGGTCATTTCCCGTTCTACTCAGACACCATGCGTGAATACCTTGTCCAGAACAGCAGCCAGGTCTCCTAACCTTGAAAACGACGATATGAACAGCAATATAGGTGTCTGCGTGACTCTCTAAACCCCACTCGTGTCCTTGACCCCGACGATGGGAGCAGCTTCACGAAAAAGATCAGTGCACGTAAGGTGCAAAGCTAGGTAGGTAATCGCAGGTCATGGGCACGGCCTCTTTTTGCAAACCCCTTCGCGTACGCATCCTTGGTAAGTTACCGTCTGCCTCGCCCACGTAGAACGCATTCGGCCCTTGTATCCGGACTACACCTTCCATGGCTTCCCCCACTCCCACCGTGTCCTTATCTCGCAAATCCCTGTATATGTGAGCCATCGATAGGACACTACCAAACCTATTTTCAGCGAGTACGCCGACTTCCTGGAGGGACTAGCGAGAACTCTGGAGTCTGCAGTAAGATGCCGCAGTATATCGCCTGGCGCTTGAAGAAGAAGAATGGCTCGTCTGTTACCACGCTAAAGGGCCGTTCCATCCCTTCTTGGCCTCCTGGACTGAATCATCAGCTACGGCCTGGGTCGTTTGCAGAATGGATGCCATGATATTTTATCGTTCCGAGTGTTCGCTACCATACATATGGTCTTGAAGAAACTCCTGTGGTGTAGGAGAAGGTTTAGCCAAATGGTTGATACGTTCCTTGATCAGGCAAAATTCAACATTCTCAAGTAATGTCTCAACACCTTCTCTGTTGCGCCAGTCTGGAGGAGCTGGAGCGAATCGAACGGATGGGTTCTGGTAGTTCGTTTTCTTTAGGATGGTCTGAGGCAGAGAGTCCTGCGACGTCCTTCTCGCCTACGTTGATCCTTTTTATCCATCAGTGCCTCTCGTCGATTGGAGGCCTTTCAAATTGGTATTCTTGAGCCATTTACGGGTCTTGGTGATGGAATCGATCGCTGGATGTACCAAAGCCAATAACTCTTCCATTGGTCGCGTGCACTCTGCGCGTAGGGTTCGAGGTGTGTCCAAGAATATCTGGCATACGAGGACCTGTCATAACTACAGTTTGTTGTCGGAGAGGAGTGAAAGAGTGATATCAGTCCACTGGTTGCCTCCTTAAATATGGGAAGGCGATCTCGAAGGCGTCCGACGACGGCGAGTTCAACAAGTATTTCTGTGAGAAGAATGCAGTATTCTGTCCACTTCTCTCGCCCGGTCAGAAAACAGAGTTAGCGTACCACAAGTTGACCGCTTCCTGCGCTGGTCTTCAGTGTCACAAGGCAAAGAGTCGGAGTTGTCGGGCTGGTCGATATGGGCTGCAACTGGTCTTCTGTCCACTTCTCTCGCTCGGCCATTTCTTGTCTATTCTGGGTGGGTTCGTATAGGCCGTGCTGTCCGTTATTGATCCTTATGGACTGACTTTCCATCTTCATCTTGACCAGAGTCTTCGTCTGGAACGATGAAAGCTTAATGAACGGACATAGCATGAAAGCACCGAGGACAAAGAAAGTTTGTGATGAGGAAAAGGAGCCAAGCGTGGTGTGTCAGGAAAGCGACAGCGGAGGTGGTGGGTTGGATCGACATCTTGAAAACATCGCGATGAACAACCGAGAAAGTAGAAGAGAGATGACGAAACAAAGATCAAACGATTGAGAGTACGACGAAGATGACTTCGACTCTGTAATACTCAAGTACGGACTTGAGCAACGGTGGTAGCTTAGCCATCGTGGCGGTCCCCAGACTGTAAAGCTGTGCTTGAGCTACGCGAGTTGCGGAAAGATGGGCAGATTAAAGAGCCCGAAGAGAGGATGGATGTCGCAGAACCCTCTGCAAGAGCACAGGGTAAGGCATTCCTGCAGTGCTGCTAGCCCGGATAATCGCCAAAGAGGCCGACCAGGTTGAGCTACCTTACTTTATTTTCACCGGGACGGAATGAACACATTGGGTCCGTGGTTGTTTTTCTGCTCTCAGGCACCTATGTATATACATATACCAGTTCGAAATCGGACTGAACCAATAGAATAGGGTGGCAATCATAACTGGTGCATCACACACCCTAGCTAACTAGCGGTTAGGCTTTAGAGGCAGTCCAAGCCCATCTGTACCGAATGAAACACATGGCGGTGATGAGTTGTGGAAAACGTATGTCACGTCTGAAGTGTATGCAGGTAATTCCATTGGGATATACTGAGCTTTTAACTGAACACAGTGTCACGCAAGGCCGACGACGACGGCATATGACCAGGAGTAAAACTTTGGAATAGGCAGGTTTGCCCGGAGTATGCGCAAACGTAAGAGTTGCGCATTTCGTTGAATCAAATCAGTATGACTGGCTGCCTCGCGTTGGCTACAGTTGCGTTCGTGATGATGCGCTGTAGTTAGGGAGTCATCTTCTACTGAGTCAATCTGCAAGGAAGATGAACCAGGACAGCTAGCCAAGACGTGTGAATGCTATGATTTGGCCTCATCAAGTCCGTGACATGTGAACTACCTCCCGACAGGAGCCATCCTGACCATTCATTTGCCATCTCCCCAGATCAAGAAGCTAGTTACTTCGGTCGTTCCAGCGCGCGCTCTCGGGTTATGTCTGCTCATGGTCCCTCTAAACACACCAATGACAACCCTGAGTGTGCAAACATTCGCTCACTATGGATGCCCATCTATGACCAAGGCGTCAATATCGGCACCCAGACCTTCTTACCAATCGTCCTCTCCAAAGGCAGCGCCTCATGGGGCGACACCCCATCCTTATACGCCTTGTTATAACTCCGGGCGAACAAGTACTCACACGGCAACTCATACTGCGCCTCCGATTCCGACGCATGAATATATGACCCATCCCCGGTCTTCAGAACCTCCCCGAACTCCTCCAGATGCTGCCTGAAGCCCGGCTCCGTGTAACGGCGAAAGGGGTGTCCCCAGAAAGCGGGCCTTGTAGGCCATACACCGAGGTGCTGGATCACTCCCGTCCCAGCGCATGCCCGGCACATAGCGCCCTCTTCGAAGCGCCCTGTCGACGTGATGACGTATGGCGCCTTGATTACGACGGTGTACCGCTGGAATAAAGGCCAGTACTTCTGGGAGAAGCGCTTGGAATGGCCGTTCTGCCGCATCAGCTCCTGTCGCTCGCTTTCGGCGTCCTTGCTGGCTTCCGCTAGGTGGGGGTGTTGACGTAGGACGGCGCGCCTGTCAGCTACCAATTGGGGTTGCCGCACCCTTCCTTGGCCGTGCATGCCATAAATGCCTGGTAGGATGACAGCGCTTGCGATGTTGCCTTGGAGTGACTCGGGGCCGATGACCATCGGTACGTAGGCCGGCGTCTCGCGGAAGCAGAAGTAGCAGAGGCGCTCGGCGGTCAGTAGGTACAAGTAATCCCCATGGTGCTTGCAGTTGCTGCACAGCGGATCGTGGATACAGGCCATGAGCGCGTCGAGGCCTGGATAGCGGCATTGGAGCCGCAGGATGGCGCTCAGTAGTTTCGGAAAGGCCTTGACGGTCTGGAAGTCGGGCAAGGAGTCTACGAACTCTAGATAATGCTGGTTAATGTGGCGGAAGTCGACAAGGGAACAGACGTCGAGCAATGATACGATATGGATTAGTATCTCAGTCGGGAGTTGGCCAAGGTCCCCTAGGAAGGGTCTTGAGGACGGGGCCGCTGGCACACTATCGTCGTCCAGTTTTGCAGACGCGGTGATGATGTGCGGTACAGCGGTGACGTCGCCCAGGAAATGGCCTGGGTGAGGTGCGAGAAAAGCCATGTCGTTAAGCTGGGACTCCATGACGGCGACAGGTGTATGGTGAGTCTTCATTCAAGGTGCTGAAGGTGTTTGTTTGTTTGTTTGTTTGTTTTGTATTTAACGTGGGGGGTAGCTCCTCAGTAGTGCAAACCACGCCTCCCAGAGCCTCTGTATCGCAGGGTTGTGAAGGTATCAAGATAATAAGTACAGTCAGTCCCGCTCACGGGCCCATCCCCGTTGTTGCGGCGGTATGACCTTGGGGTCATCCATCTGGTCCTTCTAGAAAAGTTATCTATCGGGGGCAGATTGTTGAAAAGAACTTGCTCTTCTCCACGAATTTTGCCCATTCTGTGCTCCTCTCCCCTAAATATTATAAACAAGCTGTCCTAGGCAAGTACCTAGGCAGCAGCCAGTTTTTCCCCAGCCTCTTACAAAAGAAAATGTGTTGTGGTGTTTTCTTTTCATCACAGCTGCAGTGATTATTCAAGTCTGTATGCCCAAAGCGTTCATGGTATCCAAAGTCGCCATGTCCAGATCTGGCTGCTAGAAGTCTATGGAAAGTACTCCTCTTAAAATATATAAGGTCTCTTTTAGTTACTGCATGTGAGTATACTTCTTGATACCTAGATTCTGATTGGTCTTTCTACCATTGGTTGAACTCTTTCTTGTCTTTTTTTTTTGAGATCTCTTTTAACCCAAGAGATTATATGAAGGTTTGTCGTGTCTGTTTCTAGTATGGCACCCTCTTTTGTTAGTGTGTCGGCAGCTTTGTTGCCATCAATATCTCTGTGTCCAGGAATCCACTTGACGGTCACTCCAGGAGTGTGTACTGTGGCAAGTTCTTGAAATCATAGAAAAATGTTCTGTGATGTCTCGGGTGGAGTCCCATTGAGCCCATCTACCACTGACGTGTTGTCCAGGCAGACATATAACTGTTTTCCGTGTCCAATTGCCCTGGCTGCTGCAAGACCTTGGAGAGCACCATGGACTTCAGTATCTACTATTTCTGCTTGGAGAAGTCTGTTCTTTCCCCGGTATATTTCTTGTGTAGTGCTGCCTTTCCTGATGGTATAACCCCATCTAGTGCGGGTTGTGCCTTGGTTGTCCAACTGTGATCCATCTGAATAAATGACAAGGTCAGTGTTTATATTTCTCTCTTATAGCCATTGCTTAAAGAGCTCTGTTTTTTTGTCTTTGTCTTTATGGATTGGGGGCTTCTTTCATGATGGCCTGATAAGTGTTGGTCTCTAGAAGTCAGGGACTAGCTGGAAGCTCCTTTATAGCCTTGTTGGTTCCTTACGAGCTTGTATTTGGAGCCTGCCAACAAAAGGGTGTCTCTGGTTTATTCATCCTAGTCAGAGGCCGTGACGTCGTCTTATTGACTCTGCAAGAACTCCTGCTGGGGGAATCTGCGATTCAAGGTATAAGATATGTCCAGGGTGTGTTTTTTAGACCGGCAAAATAGCCTTGATCGCCGTTTGTAGTACAGCATCTATTGTTTCAAGAAGCCCCTTAATACGATATAATAATGTCTTACCTAAGCTCCCAAATTTTTTGATTCCTGGGTACCAGGCCTCTAGTCTGTGTGTAAGATTAGGAATAACACAAGCTTTCATAGCCCTCCTGGTTGATTTTACTGGAAGCCCTTTAACTGTGTTGCATAGTCCTTAAAGGTGATTTGTTACCTTACTAGCTTTCTTGGCCCAGTGAGAAACATAATCTTTGAAATTTAGTTTTCTATCCAGAAGGACACCTAGCTATCGCATGGAAATTTTGGCTATTTTGTTCATTGTTCCGTGACAGACTAAAGGGTTATTTAAGTTCTTTTTCCTTAAGAAGTGCATGATCTCAGTTTTGTCGGTGTCAAATTTAATAGCGTTGTTATGTCCCCATTGGTTGAGCAAGTAAAGATTTTCAGAAGTCTCTGTAATTTCCTAGATTTGCTCCCATGTGTGCTTATGGATGATACTTTTCACGACCTTGGGACGTGCAGGGCATTTATCGAAGTCGGCAGCATGAGGCCCCTTATAATTGACACACTTTGGGATTGGTTTTTCGCACTCCTCCTGGTGTACTGTGCTGGCGCAACGTGCACATGTTTGCTTTTCACATCAGTAGTTTCTACCATGGTATCTGAAGCAGCTCGCATACTGGTGAACCTTGGGGGAGTATTGAATGTGCCTCGAGGTCATTAAGTGAACAAAAAGCGTGAATGGTTTCTTTGCTGCACGGGACAGAGAGATCACCCATGTGGTCTCTGGATCTGAATCAACCGTGTTCCTTGAGAATATGTACCTTAAAGGTCTGTCATCTGTTTGGGCTTTAACCTCGTTAGTGACAGCAGTGTTGGTAATGTCAATTATAAACCCTTCCGTACTGATGACCTTCCTTGGGCATCTATCAATATTGTAGTGATGCCAGACCGTGTGGGTTTTGATATTTTGTGCCTTAAGAATGTCAGCGATCTCTTCTTGGAAGGCCAAGAGCTTAGTCTGAGTTGGCTTGTCCCTTGGGTGTAAGGTGAACCCGGAGGGGCACCGCGTCACCTCTCTAAGCTCCTGGGGATAAAGCTTAAGTCTTCTGTTTAGTATAGACTTTATTCTGTAAGGCTCTTGGTGGCTATTATCTATGCGGACAAAGACCCGGAGATCATCCTGTTTCTTCTTCAGTTGGTTGGCAGTGATGCGGGCGCCAGGCTGTGTTTTCTCTATGGTAGTGTTGATTGTCCGTGGATACTGTTGTTGGCTAGAGGAGACAGCTTGGGCAAAGGTCATGGTGGGCTTTACCATCCCTATCCCCCTAGGGATGGTCTTCTTTTTGGGCAGATCTCGAGTTTCTAGCCACTCGCTCAGACATTTAAAGAAGAAAGTGCTGAACTCCTTGGCATGAGAGTATAATTCGGTTCCAGTTTTCTCAAATGTCTTATCAATCACTGCAGCACACTCTTGAAACATTGTTATCCTGGCTTCATAAAGGTGTTTGTCTTTAGCCAGTATTCTGGCAACTTGGTCCTGGCACTCTGAGAAGGAGGCTTTATTCCCTATATTGCATGTAACGGCTTGGTCTATCGAGATTTCGTTCAATTGAGGTCGTTTCATTCCAGTGGTGCTGCTGTCATTGATATTTTGGGATTTTCCTTTCAGAAAGGAAATAATGGTGAAGTCAGCCTTAGAGACCTGTGACGGGCTGCTGCTGATGTCGTCAAGCAGCGCCTGGCAGAGCCTGCTCGGAGTTGCCAGGCCGTATGTCTTTCTGGGGGCCGGGGATTTGAGCACGCCGCTGGTGGTCGTCTTTGGGACGGCCACGGGCGTGCTTGGGGGCCCGTCATGGAAGGGTGCCATCCGGCTTGTGAGAAAATTTCTTTTATGTCTTGGCAAAGATAGTCAGTTACTGAAAGAAGTGCCTGCTTTAGCGCAGGAATCGAGGTTGCGCACTAACAGCGGGGCGCCAAGAAAAATAGTTGTTTTTTGTACTTAGAAATAGTGTTAGTTATTTCTCACTGACATGCAGGAGGTTGTCTTGAGGTCGCTAAAGTCTTTTAAGAACATCTGGTCCTCGTCTGCTATCACATTACGCATAGCGTGAACCTTGCTGGTTACTAGGTACCAGACCAGATAGATGTTGGTTGAGTTATATCCCACAAGATAGCTAAACTGGGTGGACAAAAGTCTCCGCCCGACCCACCACAATCTCCTTCAGATCAAAACAATGCGTCAATCACCCTTCGACTTCACCACTCTCTCAACACCGCAATTGATAATGGATTTACGATCTTTTGGGGACGAATTAAGCGGTAATCGCGTCGCTAACGGCGAATTCACTTCAGAAGCTCGCTCAGCAATCGTAGCGGCACAAATCAACGGCAGAACGCGTAGGGATGTTGCAACCACGTTTAAAACGAAGCGCCTGAAAACCATCTCCGATATTACCACCAACTTTGAGGCCACTTCTACACCGAAATCTGCCCCAAGGAGCGGTCGCCCACCCATTTTGAATACTCGCGAACGCACTCATGTGATCAAAAAGGCGAGAGAGCTCCCCAGGGCGACGTGGCAGAAGATTCAAAACGAAGCCTGCGTTTCGTGCTCTCTTAAGACTATCAAGAGGATATGTCACGCACACGGCCTCCAGAAGTGGCGCGCAGCGAAGCAAATCAAGCTCACAGATAAGGACACTCAGAAGAGGCTCGCTTTTGCCAATTATTATAGCACACCAGAGCGCCTGGAGGAGTTGTTGCGAGCTATGTTCTCAGACGAATATACGGTCCAAAACTCATCCAATAATCCAGGCGATTGGGCCATCCAATTCTCTTCAGAGCGGTACTGTTATGATCTCGTGAACAAGACGGATCACGGCAAATCTCGTATTTTGATAATGGTGTGGTCTATGATCTGGCTACGCGGCAGAGAAGGAGGACGAGGCAAGTTGGTCTTCTGCCCACTCGACCCGGATGCTCCGCGCAGAGGAGTATTCGTAGAGTCATACAAATGGGTTCTTGAGGAAGGCCTGCTTCCGTTCTACGAGGCTGGAGATCCTTTTGTTCAAGATAACACGAAAATTCACCTTACTGGCGGTGTTCCGGAGTGGATGGAGGAGCACGGCATCCACTGTATCGACTGGCCTCCTCACAGCCCCGATATGAACCCAATCGAGCACGTTTGGCGACTTCTGAAGAAGAACATACGTGAAATCGGGCCTGAATTTTCTGAATTGAAGGATAATATCCCCTATTATCGCTACGCACACGAGTTAATTGAGCAGGCGTGGTAAGAGATCGATCCGGAGCAGGTTCGGGCCTTGATGGAGTCACTGGAAGACCGAATAGCTGCAGTGAGGCGCGCCGGTGGTTGGTATACACACTATCGACTTAGTTATTAAATACAATTTATTTGAGAATTCTATCACCAGAATTGGATGCGTTATGGTTCAATTGAGTTGGAGGGTATAGTAGATAGAAGGGGTAAAATTAGGGATTGGGCGGAGACTTTTGTCCACGCATTGTAACCCAAGCTTTTGGGTTTAGCTTTTTGAGGCGGTCCTTC